TCATCATCCAAATCATCATCATCATCATCATCATCATCATCATCATCATCATCATCATCATCATCATCATCATCATCATCATCATCATCATCATCATCATCATCATCATCATCATCATCATCATCATCATCATCATCATCATCATCATCATCATCATCATCATCATCATCATCATCATCATCATCATCATCATCATCATCATCATCATCATCATCATCATCATCATCATCATCATCATCATCATCATCATCATCATCATCATCATCATATCATCATCATCATCATCATCATCATCATCATCATCATCATCATCATCATCATCATCATCATCATCATCATCATCATCATCATCATCATCATCATCATCAATCATCATCATCATCATCATCATCATCATCATCATCATCATCATCATCATCATCATCATCATCATCATCATCATCATCATCATCATCATCATCATCATCATCATCATCATCATCATCATCATCATCATCATCATCATCATCATCATCATCATCATCATCATCCATCATCATCATCATCATCATCATCATCATCATCATCATCATCATCATCATCATCATCATCATCATCATCATCATCATCATCATCATCATCATCATCATCATCATCATCATCATCATCATCATCATCATCATCATCATCATCATCATCATCATCATCATCCAAATCATCATACAAATCATCATCCAAATCATCATCATCATCATCATCATCATCATCCAAATCATCATCCAAATCAACATCCAAATCATCATCATCATCATCATCATCATCATCATCATCATCATCATCATCATCATCATCATCATCATCATCATCATCATCATCATCATCATCATCATCATCATCATCATCATCATCATCATCATCATCATCATCATCATCATCATCATCATCATCATCATCATCATCATCATCATCATCATCATCATCATCATCATCATCATCATCATCATCATCATCATCATCATCATCATCATCATCCAAATCATCATCATCATCATCATCATCCAAATCATCATACAAATCATCATCCAAATCATCATCATCATCATCATCATCATCATCATCATCATCATCATCATCATCATCATCATCATCATCATCATCATCATCATCATCATCATCATCATCATCATCATCATCATCATCATCATCATCATCATCATCATCATCATCATCATCATCATCATCATCATCATCCAAATCATCATCATCATCATCATCATCATCATCATCATCATCCAATCATCATCATCATCATCATCATCATCATCATCATCATCATCATCATCATCATCATCATCATCATCATCATCATCATCATCATCATCATCATCATCATCATCATCATCATCATCATCATCATCATCATCATCATCATCATCATCATCATCATCATCATCATCATCATCATCATCATCATCATCATCATCATCATCATCATCATCATCATCATCATCATCATCATCATCATCATCATCATCATCATCATCATCATCATCATCATCATCATCATCATCATCATCATCATCATCATCCAAATCATCATCATCATCATCATCATCATCATCATCATCATCATCATCATCATCCAAATCATCATCATCCTCATCATCATCATCATCATCATCATCCCAATCATCATCATCCCAATCATCATCCCAATCATCATCATCATCATCATCATCATCAATCATCATCATCATCATCATCCCAATCATCATCATCATCATCATCATCAATCATCATCATCATCATCATCATCATCATCATCATCATCATCATCATCATCATCATCATCATCCAAATCATCATCATCATCATCATCATCATCATCATCATCATCATCATCATCATCATCATCATCATCATCATCATCATCATCATCATCATCATCATCATCATCATCATCATCATCATCATCATCATCATCATCATCATCATCATCATCATCATCATCATCATCATCATCATCATCATCATCATCATCATCATCATCATCATCATCCAAATCATCATCATCATCATCATCATCATCATCATCATCATCATCAT